CCAAGCACTACTCAAGTACCTGACCATATGTACTCCCCAAGGAGTACAACCACAACAAATAGAAAAGAGGTGAGAACTACATTCAATAAAACACGGTGAAGAACACACGCTAAGAAGTAGTTGACACACAAAACACACTAATCATACAATTTCCACGCACATACAAGTGCCACATCATCATTCGGCATAATCAGCCCACATACAATCATGTATAAGTATGCAATGCGACTCATTGACACGACACAATGCATGCGGTACCATCACAACCACATACAGTTCATCCTAGAACCCGATTCCCGTCAAAATCCAGATAAGTCGTATATGTTCCTCTGAACTACGACTTATCTCCACACAACTCCCACATGGAGCGCGAACAATACTAGGCACCCGTCATGGATTCTCACCTATCTCATCTCCATATAGCATGACATGAATGCATGACACAAATTATGCACAATATAATATCTATTCAAGCATAATTTCACAGTCCTCAATGATCACACATGAACCACCTATTCACTGTAATTCTCTCAGGAATTACCACCACAGCACAAGATTGTCCACACATGACATCCTCATAAAAACCCATATTTTATCCTACTTAATGTTATTACTAGTTCCCTTATGTCCAATTATGTCACATTAGTCTTACGGATCAAGAGAAATTGCATTATACGCGAAATCAAGGCAGAAATCGCAAAAACGGGAAAGTTTCACCACAGCTTTGCCCATATGCGTATGGCCAGCTTCCTTCGCCCCATGCCTGCGTATGACCCTACTGCCCAAGCCACTATACGCGTATTGCACTACAACATTTTTACTCTATAGCAACGCCTAATTTTCAAGAAGTAAAAAAATTGTTCTCATAGAGAGTAATAGGCAACTAATTATATAATTTGTTGTTGTAGCATATTTAATTTTTTGTAAATTTTATACAACGGCCCGAAACCGTTCTGATAGAGAGAAATGAGAACGGCTCCTATTAGCAACGGCTAGAACCGTTCTTATATAATTTTTAATTATTTTAATAAAATATTATTACTAACAAAATTTTCAATCTCCCTCCACGAGTAAAACTTTCGTTCCCTCCCACCGTTCTCATACGTTTCAGTCTCCCTCCACTGAGTAAAATTTTCGACTCCCTCCACGAGCTTCTCTCAAACCGATTCATTGTCCCTCCCAAATACGAGCTTCATCGAACGATTCTCTCAAAGGTACGAGCTTCTCCTTAACCCTAATATTCATCCCAAATTGATTCTTCATTGTATGATTCTCCCAAACCCTAACATTTTGTTCTTCACCCATATTGATTCTTCATGGTATGATTCTCTCAAACCCTAACATTCATCCCAAACTTGTGTGTGTAAATGTTCTCCTTCAACTTTCTCTATTTTCTGCCGATAAATCTAACGGTTTTGTTTTCATAGGTCTCAATTTTCAAACGTAATAGTGCGCGAGTTTTCAGCGGTGTGCGCATTTTCAGTTCATCCTGGTAAAAAGGTAATAATTTGATTATAATTTGTAGCCCTGTGTTATTTTGGTGGATCATTGAGTTAGAGATAGTTAATTAACTCAAATTATCTAGTGCTTCTCTGCATCTGTCCGGTGCCGGTGCCGCTTCTCTGCATTTGTCCGGTGCCGGTGCCGCTTCTCTGCATCTGTACCCTCTATAGCAGCAAGGGTGAGAACAAAGGCCAAACGTCTAAGAATCAATTCACAAGAACCACCCTTAGCCTTAGGAGGTTTTCTCCCTTCTATACCGGTAGAAATGTTATGCTGTTAGATTTCTTCATGCTGTTAGATTTCTTCCTTAGAAATGTTATGCTGTTAGATTTCTTCCTTAAGTTATGCTAATAAAATGTTGACTATAACATGATGTTGTAATGTCATAAGAAAATCAAATGGATGTGCGGTGCTCTTAGCCTTGTATGAAATTTGTTTTAGTGTGATTATTATGTCTAAGTAAAAATAAGGTTCCCCATAATGTACCAGTTTGACCAGTTTATTTACATTGATCTTCCTTTATCATCAACGGATTGAAACCCCTGTTTTCCATAGGTAATTCATCTTCTAGGATCACCTGTCAGTTTGGGATTCTTGTGTTTATACTAATTGGTTAATGATATATTTCCAAGCTTGAAATTTTTAGGGTTGTTAGTGAACCGCTGATAGTCATATCAAAGGCTACTCAAACAGAGTGCAGTCTTTAATATCCATTCATTCACTATTTCAAATGCATCAACTAACATCGACATACAAAACCAGGTTTAAAAATTAGATATTATTGGCCTAGACGGCGCTCTAAACAGGGTGAAGTGTGCAGTCTTCACAAAACACACTATGATGAAGCTTGATAGAGATTTCAAGCTTTGGAAACAATCACATTATTAAACCAATTGCATAAGATAGAAATTTGAGTGACATTTAGAAAACAGGCAATTCAGACACACGTAAACAAATGGAAGGACAAACTAAAAAAGCCCAGTGCATCCATATATCATAAAATAGACTATGAACGCCTAAAATCTCAGTAGCTTCAACATTATCAATCAGCACCTTCTCCCTTTCAAAACATGATAGAAGAGAAGTTTAATAACTAATTAGCAGTATGACACATTTTACGGTGGCTCATCGTTGCCTTTAGGTGCAGCTTCTTTGATTTCATCAGCACCGTCATCCTGAAACCCAAACACAATACAAAACCAAATTCCATAAATTGAATTCGTGATTGGTAAATTAAGAGATGACAAGATACAAAATGAGGTACATTGACAACACAAAAAAATCATACAAGGCTAAGAGCACCGCACTTCCATTTGATTTTCTTTTGAGTACTTTTTTGACAGTAAGTTAGGTAAATTATTTGAGAGCATATAGGTATAATTACAATATTGTATTGATATAGAGAATTAAAACAAAGTATTATATATCAACTCTACAATTTGTGTATTATGTATCAATTCTACATTTCATGTCTTGTAAATTATATCAAAACAACAACATATGACAGTTGAAGTGAGGAAGTGGTTTAGGTTGGCCACGTGTCTCAATCAGACATATTGGGTGAGAGCGATTATTGGTTGGCCAATCTTTATTACATGTTTATTACATGTTTGGAAGTGTGTTGTGTTGTGTTATGTTGTGTTTTGCTTTTGGTATAATTGTCCCTAGATTCTATGATTTGGTTGTTTCCTACTACGAGTACTTTCAGTACCTTCCTTTTGATGTCAGCACGTTACAATTGATGTAAATATGGATACCAAAGTAGAGAAAAATCTTAATTGATGTTGAGACAGAATATGGATACCTTGCAGTTAAGGTGCACTAATGCAGTGATATTAATTTTTACTATTGTTCTGATGCAGTGATGTAAATATTACAGCAGTATTTGAATGTGGTGTACAAATAATTAGCAGCAGTATTTATTCCTTGAAGTGGAAATTTGAATGTGAATGTGATGTAGTATGCTGTTAGGAAATTCTGTTTAGTGCTGTGTTAGGAAATTCTGTTTAGAGCTGTGTTAGGACATTTTGGAAATTCTGTTTAGTGTTGTGTTTAGTGTTGTGTTTTGTTATTTGTATGTGATGTAGTATGCTGTTAGGAAATTCTGTTTACTGCTATTATTATGGCTTTTGCACTTGTAAGTATTTTTGTGAGTATGTTTAAAGTATGCTGAAGGTTATTCTTCTGCTATTCCTATTGATGCACTAGTAAGTATTTTTGTAAGTATGTTGAAAGTCATTATTCTGCTACTACTGATAATGCACTAGTAACTATGTTGAAGGTTATTTAAAAATTATGTTGATGTTGTTCTTATTATGGTGTTAATGCACTAATAATATGTTAAAAAGCTATATTGAACTACACCAGTGTCATATTGCCTAAGCGAGGAAGTGATTTAGGTTGGCCACGTGTCTCCATCAGACATATTGCCTAACTTTTAATGTGAAACAACCAAGTTGGCTTTAGGATAAACATTGCCATAGGATAAACCAATGCCATTAAATAACAGCATTATAGTACACAGTTTCATAAATGAATTTGTACAGTTTTTTGTACTCAATCTAGAATGATAAACCAATGCCATTAAATAACAGCATTATAGTATATATTTGTGCTGTGATGAAGTGAGGAAGTGGGAAAACTACTTAGACACAAAACAAGTAAAATTAGAGAAAACGTATTGTTACAAATTATGCAGAGAAAAAAATGCTTTAGTTCTTTACTTCAATCTAGAATGATAAATGATAAAGTTATCACTTTATATATATATATATATATATATATATATATATATATATATATATATATATATATATATATATATATATATATATATATATATATATATATATATATATATATATATATATATATATATATATATATATATATATATATATATATATAATTTGGTTTTAGAACAGACATAATTATTTGAACTTGCAGATGAGATAAAGTTGGGCATTATATAATAATATCATATGTCAGTATGTGTGTCAAAAACTATAAAAAACATTATCTATGCTTTAATGCAAGTTTATATAGGCTTTACCCTCTCGCCAAAACATGATGTGTTATGACTTGAAATATATATATATTGAGTCAAATATTTACCAAAATATCAAAGACACATTTATATAAGTAAGAAAGTCTAACATATTCATCTAAAACATTACGATAACAGGTGTATGAATTGTCTACTGTTGCTGGTGTACAAGTAATTGCTGCCTAAGAAAGTCTGACATTATATCAGGTTTGTACCGACATCCATCTATAACATTTGTTGGACTGTTTTTCTGATATTTATGAATTTGATGTGAATTCCTAGTTTATGTTACTTGTTGCACTAGATGAGCATGTTCTGGTAGGCTAGTTTTTATATGACAAAATGAAACAATTTTGACTAATTAAACACTTTGGGTTGCTCTACTGTGTTTCTTTTCTGCTTGTTTTGCTTATACATTTTTTCCATAAATGGTAGTATCCCCGTAAACCCGATGGACAAGGAATGGACAAAGAAAAACCCCGCGAGTAAAGAGTACCAAAATGGTCTTGATTCTTTTCTAGATTATGCATACACAAAAGGAAAACCCCGCGGGAAAGAGATTTTGTGTCCTTGTGCTAATTGTTACAATAGCAATTGGTTTACAAGGAATGAAGTACGAAATCATTTAATTGCATTTGGATTTCAAAAGGGATATGACGTTTGGGTTCGACATGGCGAGAAGAAACCGAAACTCGGTGATCTTAATAATAATCATATGAATGAAGAAGAGGATCAAATTGACGATATTGATGGACTATTGCATGAAAGATTTAGAGATGTTGTACAAGAAGAAAATGATGTGAATGTAAGCCTCAATGAAGATGCAAAAAAGTTCTATAATCTAGTCGAAGAAGCCAAACAAGATTTGTATCCCGGTTGCAAAAACTTCTCTAAATTGTCATTCACCATTCGTCTTTATTTATTGAAATGTCTTTATGGTTGGAGCAATGTATCATTCGATGCTCTATTAGAGTTGTTGAGAGAAGCTATGCCTTCATTAAACATCCCTGATACGTTCAACAAAACTAAAGGCATGATAAGGGACTTAGGGCTAGATTATAAGAAGATCGATGCTTGCAAGTATCCCAAAGGAAGGAAAAATACAATATCCCAAAGGAAGGAAAGAAGGCTGTATTTGCTATTACAAATGATGCTTGGAGACGATACAAATGCTCGCTTAAAAGGAAGCATTTTAGCAAGTATAAAACCTTGCGCGAGCAGCTAAAAAATCGTCCACAAGAGGTACCAGAAGAAGATTTTAGAAAGTTATTGGAGTATTGAAGAGATGACAAAACTCTAGTAAGTATGTAGGACTGTTATGCTGTTAGTACTGTTATGCTGTTAATAAGTTAGTAAGTATGTTGTTAGTACTGTTAGTACTGTTACTAAGTATGTTGTTAGTACTGTTATGATGAAGAATTAGTAATAAGTTAGTAATATAGTACTGTTATATATTAATTAAGTTAGTAATATTAATAAGTTAGTAACATAGTTAGTAATAAGTTAGTAATATTAATAAGTTAGTAACATAGTTAGTAATATAGTACTGTTATATATTAGAAATTGAAAATATAAGTACTGTTATACTGTTATATATTAGTAATATTAATAAGTTAGTAATATAAGTCAGTAATATAGTACTGTTATAAAGTACTGTTATATATTAGTAATTAAGTACATATATTGCAATTGTAGGAAAGGAAAGGAGTTGGATCAAGAAACCAACCATGCAATTGTAAGTTATTATTGTTAGTGTTATTTTTGTTAGGAGTTCTAGTTAGGAGTGGATCAGACTTGTATATTATGAGTAATATTCAAATGACAATTGTCCCTTGCCTCTTATTTACTACTATATATTATGTATGTTAGATAAAACTTCAAGACTTGATTGAAAATCATGGAAAACCTTCTTCAGAAGCTTTTGAAAGCGTATTGGGCAAACAAAAACCTGGGAGATTGCGTTGCCACGGAAGAACCACAACACCGACTCTCTTGAAAAGAAACAAAGAAATTTCAAAAATTAAAAGAGAGCATGCTGCTGAGATTAGACAATTTAATGACAGGTTACAAGAGATGGAAGAAAAACATCGTCAAGATAAAGAAGAAACTGATAGGAAAATTCAGGTTCTTCTTAAGACTGTTTTGAATCAAAATACCTCCGAGTTGAATATAGAGGCTTTGGCAGCTTTGATATCAACTCCTGCAACTGATGCTAACAGTGTCTTACGTTCTTCTACATCGACACATGCTCCAACTAATGATCAAGTAAGATTTGTTACATTCCTATGTTTTAAGGGATTTTATATATGTGGATTATTTACTTGGAGTGAATTATTTTATTTTTGATCATTCAAATAATAATCTTATTTAAGTTATATTATTTTTATTTTGCAGGTCATGAATGATAATATCAATGAAGATTTTGAATTTGAAGATGAAGAAACGTAGATGTAGAGATGTAAATGTTTAAGTTTAATTTTATAGATTAAAGATGTTATTTTGACTATGAATGATGATTGACATTGGGATCGATATGTAATTTGAAGATGTTTTGTTGACATTACGATATGAAAGATCATGTTTATAAAAAAAAATTGAAGATGTTTTTTTTTTTAAATGTTTTGTTGGATCATTTTCAATTTGAAGATGTTTTGTATTTGAATATTATTATATAAAAAAATTGTGAATGATGTTATTATCAGGTTTATAAAATAAAATAAAAATTTATTTTATTAAAAAATAAATAAATTTATTTGGTTTATAAAATAAAATAATATTTTTTGCAACAGTTACAAAGTGTGTCTGTAGTAAAGAAGGCGTTGCTATAACCTATGAAGAAAAAATAAATTTAAGACTCTATTAGAACGGTTTAGAATAGACTACGGCTAAGAACCGTTTCTATATTCCATAAAATAATTGTACTCAAATAAACAACAACTGCAACGGTTTACATTTGAAAACGGCCTTCAGCCGTTGCTGTACCAAACCGTTCTCTATATAAAATTACAGCAACGGCTCTGAATAAGGCGTTGTCGTTGTCTAATAAACCGTTCCTAAAGGCTAAAACAACGCCTTGGTTTAGAACGCCCTGAAAACCGTTCTCATAGGTAAAGGCAACGGTTTTTTTAGATTTTGCAACGGTTTTTTTGTGTTGCTGTATATTCAAAATGTTGTAGTGTTGCCTCGTGTTGTACGCATATGGCCAGAGGCCATTTCCTTCATACGCGTATGGACCCATCCCTTACGCGTATCATACGTGTATGACCAGAAGGTCATGCTGGATTGGGGACGGGGTGCGTATCATACACGTATTGCCCCCTAGGAGTGTCCCTCATACGCGTATTTTCCTTGGCGTTATGCGCATTGACTTGCCTGCGCAGAAAAATACTCATTTTCGCATCAATGCAATTTTCCCCCATTTGAGCACTTTCAAGCTCCTGATTTCGACCCAAAACAACAACTACACTAGTCTATAGTGGGTTTGTTCTACATCATTCTTTTCAACATTTTCTACTATTATAGTCCATTTTCGTTAACACTCAAAAACCCCAAATTTTCAGATCTGGTTCCATATCAGAACCCAGCAACAACAGTACCAAATTGCACGATTTTTCCAATCAAAATCAACACACAACACAAGTTCATACACACATTTAGTACACAGCTGCGAATTAACAACAACAATCATACAACACAACAATCAGACACGGAAAAGGAAGAATGTACAGAAAATTCTAAGAGGGAAAGGTATCCTGACTACCCTCTCATGTTATCATCACCATTAATGAATCTCATTCTCCCCCCTTACCTGAGTTATGAGCTTTTCCTTCCTTCAACAATGGTGGAAATTCCTTGTTCCTCTTGCCCTAACTCTCCCTCCCTTTCTCTTTCTCTTTTCACGTAAAAGTAAAACTCATCGTCTAACCTCCCCACTAATCCCTCCTAATTATGTTATTAATTCCTTAATTCTAGCAATAATAATAATAATAATAATTATTATTATTATTATTATTATTATTATTATTATTATTATTATTATTATTATTATATTAATAATAATAATAATAACAATAGTCATAATAACTTAATATTCTAAATAATAATAATGTTAATGTTTATAATAATAATAATAATGTTAATAATAATATTAATAATAATACAAATAATATTAGTATTAATAAAATTCCTCATTATTCACGTTATCATTATTATAGTATTTTCCTAAGATATAATTTAATTTAATGCATTCTACTAACTCTAACACTCACCATAACACACATGCCCTTTAACCAAGACAATGTCCAACAACCACTCAAAGTAATCATAAAACGACTAAATAGTTAAATGGGGTGTTACAACTCTCCCCCACTTAAAATATTTTCGTCCTAAAAAATGTACTTAATGAGAATAATTTTGGATATGAATCTCGCATCTTACTCTCCAATTCCAAGGTCACACTTCCTCCAGCAGCTCCTCCCGAAGCCACTCTCACTAAAGGAATATCTTCATCTTCTCTCTAATCATCTAAATTATCTCAGTAGTCTATTGCATAATCTCTAGTCCAAGCACAATGCTCTCACCCGACTCATACCAGCATAGAGGTGTCCCACACCTCCTACCATACAATGTTTTAAAAGGCGTCATTCCAATACTATAATGGTAACTGTTATTGTAAGAAAATTTAATCAGTGGCAAATGAGTGTCCCAAGAACCTCCTTGCTCAAGTATACAAGCTCTCAACAAGTCTTCCAGAGACTGGATAGTCCTCTCAAATTGTCCATCTATCTGCGGATGATAAGCAGAACTCAACTTCAAACTAGAATCTAAAGCTTCTTGCAAGCTCTTCCAAAATCCAGAATTAAACCTTGGGTCTCTGTCAGACACAATACTCGACGGAACCCCGTGCAACTTCACTATTATCCTTATATAAATCTCTATTAACTTTGCCAAAGGAAAACTGATGTTAATCGGTATAAAATGTGTCGATTTCGTCAACATATCCACAATTACCCAAAAAACATCAAAGCCTCTCGTCGTATTCGAAAACCCAATCACAAAATCCATCACAATACTATCTCACTTCCACTCTGATATTTCCATTGGTTGCATTATACTGGAAGGCTTCTGATGTTCCACTTTTGACTTCTGGCAAGTCAAACAAGCATACACAAATCTAGCTATGTCTTTCTTCATACCCGACCACCAAAATAATTTCTTAAGATCCTGATACATCTTCGTAGCTCCAGGATGAATACTCAAGCTACTTCTGTGGCTTTCCTTTAAGATCATTTTCTCAATTTAGAATTACTCGGCACACAAATTCTGCCTCTAAATCTCAACACACCAAAATCATCCACTTTAAAGTCACCTTCTGCACCCGACCCTCCTGTGGTCATCAAATCCACCAGCTTCAAATCAAGTTTCTGACTCTCTCTAATCTCATTAAGAAACTCATTATTAACCTTCAGCATACCCAACATCACACTCCCACGATTCAATTCACAAACCATACTCAAGTCTCTAAATTGCTTAATAAAATCCAACTCTCTAATCACCAATGTCGACATATGGATTTTTTTCCGACTCAAAGCATCCGCCACAATGTTAGCTTTACCAGGGTGGTAACTCAAGCTAAAATCGTAGTCCTTCAATAATTCCAACCATCTTCTTTGTCTCATATTCAGCTCTTTTTGGTCAAATAAATATTTTAAACTTTTATGATCACTAAACACTTCAAACTTCGACCCATACAAGTAATGCCTCCAAATTTTCAACACAAAAATCACCGCAGCTAACTTAAGATCATGAGTAGTATAATTCCTTTAATGTACCCTTAATGGTCGTGAAGTCTAAGCCACGACCTTACCACATTACATCAATATTCCGCCTAATCCCATTTTAGACGTATTACAATATACTACAAAGGGTTCATCTGGCTTTGGTTGAATCAACACTGGTGCTGTAGTCAATCGCTTCCTCAATTCCCGGAACTCTCTTCACACAAGATATCCCACACAAAGGCCTGCCATTTTCTAGTCAACTGAGTCAAGAGAAGGGCCAAATTAGAAAATCCTTCAATAAACATGCGATAATAACCTGTCACACCCAAGAAACTTCTAATCTTTGTCACTGACTTCAGAGGTTCCCACTGCATTACCACACTTACTTTGGGTGGATCCACTGTTGTGCCACCACCAGAAATAACATGTCCCAGAAAACTCATGT